GGAATTAATGTTTTATTGGGATATATTTATCTATTTGAACATAATATTTGTGATCTATTTTTGAAATTCAGTAATCCATTTAGTAAAATAGACTTTTTATTCTGCAATACTGTAAATTTACTATTTTCATATTGTCTATGATTTTCAGACCGAATAACAACAAAAGATGATTAAATGACTTATTTAGACAAAATATATTTCATTAATTCAGTGAGAAAACATTGATTATTTTGTTTATTATGTTTTTACAATTTTACGCTTTAGTACTTGACATATTGTATAGATATCTGCCTATTGCTTAACGGTTTCATATTTTCAGACAAGGAATGTCTGTCCATGGTTTAAAGACTCTATAATACCCTCTTTATTTCTTCAATTATTGTGTCGTTTGATTGTTTCATTGACGTTTACTTACATCTGTTATTCATTCAAAAAGAATATATACAGTCCCCCAAAACTTAAGCACCACCTATTTTTTTTGCATCGAATTTTTTGTCGTTTAAAAAAATCAGTTATTCCACGAAAAAAGAGATAAAACTTATGTAGCAATTTTGCTAACATATACCATAAACAAACCATAAACTCAAGTTTGGTCACTTACGCAGGTTCTTTGCATTTAAGTTTTGCATTCATAGAAAAAGTCTAAAATACACAAATCAGAAACAGAATTTAAGTTTCACTGTGATTTTATTTTTTTTACAACAAATAATCACCCAATATCATTAAAATTCTCTACAAATAATCTTTGGTTTTTTCGGCAAATTTTATGTCAATATTTGAGTCAATAGCATGTGTAACCACCTCTCTTCCGGTATAGTTCCATAACACGGCGTCTCATACTCTGTACAAGCCTTCTTAACTTTAGTTGAGGACATGCATTCTATTCATTAACAGTTGCCACTCTTAAATCGCCAAAATTTTGCAAAGGTCGATCTGTGCGATTGAGATTTATGCCAATGGCATCCCAGACATGTTCGATAGAGTTCATGTCAGGAGACATGGAAGGCCAAACAGATAGTGTCAATGGCTTCTTGCTCTTTGTACTCTGTTACAATCCTTGCCGTGTGTGGTTAAGCGTTGTCGTCTATGTACAAGGGTCCTGACGCAAGTGGTAGATTATCAAAATGAGAGACTACTATGCTTCTAAGCATTAAATCCCTGTATAGCTGTCAGTTCATGTTACCCTGCAGAATAAGCACACATAGCTTACAACGGTATGTGAAGCAACCCCATACTGTCACACCACATGCAGTCGTTGGGCAAATTTTGTTTTGGTCATATGCAGTTTTATTTTCCCGCCAAACTCGTATTTTGGCTTCTACTGGTCGTAACATAAACCGACTCTCATCTGACCAATGCAGTTTTTCCAGCTTCTCATTAGCCTATTGAAACATGATTATACGGTGCCTGGCTGTTAGGACAGATCTCTTGACAGCTTGACGTGCTCTTAGTTTGCCTCTATGAAGTCGACGGAACAATATTCGAACACTAACACGACCACCTGGAGGCCAGTGGTGTCTAAGCTGCGGGGCAGGAGTAAATGGGTTAGCGTTAGCACGACGAATAAACATTCTGTCATCACGACGGGTAGTTAAAAGGGGTCTTCCGAACCTTGGGCTATCATTTAAAGTTCCTGTGACAACATGACGTCGTAAAAGTCTGACAATGACGGTATGATTAACATTGGATTGGTTACCTATCCTGCAAGTACTCTTACCGGCATTTGACATGCCAATCGCATGCTAACGTTAAGCCACAGATGACTTACGCCTTTCCATATTACACAATGACTTGATGAGGGTCAAATTTCACTTGCACGCGGGACAGTAGGAAGATTTAAAGTTTTCGAAACAGTGTATTTGTAAAAGTGCAGATGACCTTTAATAAAAAGTTGCTTGACGGGTTTATCAGAGTTCATCTTTTTGGCCGTAATGAATTTTCTTAGTGTATGTTAAAGGCAATTCAAAACACCAAACATAAATAATTTGTTCGCATTAGTTAAACAAATGTTGCCAGTTATATTCAGGTGGTTCTTAACTTTTTGCGGACTGCATATACAAAAAAACATGTAGTAAAAAAATATGTTATTAAAAAACTACACGTCATCGGGGTTTAAATGTTTGAAACAGAATAATGGTAATTTCAAATTAGTGTTGATTTCTTAGAATTTTATTTTATGTCATTAATGTACAAAAAAAACGAGAAATGTATGATGTTTTTGGCCTCCTAAACTTATTTTACAAACAAAGACAATTAGTGATAACTGACTATCAATAAAAAAGAACTAGTACACATTTTTGTTTAGGGGCCAGCTGAAGCCCGCTTCGGGTGCGGATCTTTTTCGCTGTGTTGAAGACCCATTTTTGGCCTTCGGTTGTTTTCTGCTCTTTGGTCGGATTGTTGTCTCTTTGTCCCTTTCCATTGTCAATTTCATTTCCCGATTCAATATCATACCCTGTTAACGATAAATTGGCCAAATTTTGATAAAATACTTTTTGGCTTGATACCATACACGATTCCCAGTTTTCCTCCACCAGGTGTGCTTATGGACAACAAAATGTCTCTTCAGTGATACTTGGGGTAACAGTAATAGAAAATCTAAATCTCAATAAAAGAAATGGAGAGCATATAAAACTAAACAGTTAAAAAAAGCATAGTCGAAGCTGTGCACGAGGGAGACATATTCCTTAATTTAAGATAATTTCAAAAATGGTGTAACAGCTAATTTTATAAAAACACAATTTCTGTATTTTCATGCCGATACCAAAGTTCAGGCTACTGGGTTGGCGATATCCTCGGGGACTAAATGTTAACCAGTAGAGGTTTCGACACAGTGATAGTAATAAATGCAATAAATGCAAATGAAAAAAATATCGATTGTAAAGGAGTTTTTCTTTTTAGTTGATATATTTTTCTTCACCTATCTGAGTAAGGATATAAATAGAGAAACAACTGTCTTGAAAATTACACATGTAACAGTAACAGTATTGCTGAATAACCATAACATATATACGTTGATTTATTGCCTATAGGAGTACTCAGTCATGGTATAACTATAAAGTGTCTAGGAGATTGATCGACCACACACGATGTAATATTGCATGTCTTTTTCTTTTTTAGCCAAGGCGTTGTCAGATTAATTTCGACTTATGAGTTTGAATGTCCCTCTGGTATCCTTGGCCTCTCTTTTGCAAACGCCTTTACTGGTCATATTGCTTATAACTATTGTATTACAGTTTACCTGTATATTTCTGTGCATTTATTGTTGTTAGAAAAAGTAGTATGCAAAACATATATAACATGTATAACCACAAACATATAATTATGTCCTTTGCCGTATTTCATGTATTTGACCATTTTTCTCAAAATGTTTGGTTTTAATGCTCTTCAACTTCGTATTAGATTTAACTTTCAAATGTTTTTGTGTGGGTGCCTTTTATGAGTGTTATGTAGACGAAACGCGTCCGGCGTATCAAATCAAAAACCTGGTATCTATTATTTTTTACATTTTCTTTACAATCAAAACTAAACCAACAAGATGAAGGGGATCAAACTAATTCAAAGAGATGATTGCAAATCACCGAAATAAAAAGAAATTGAAGATGTTCACGTTTCTTTGTATGTTGACGTTTGTTTTTTGTTGCAGTTCAGTGTTTCTGTTGTTCCGTTGTTTTCCTCTTATAGTTGTCGCTTAATCGATTTACGACTTTTAAACAGCGGTATACTATAGTTGCCTTTATTTAAGAAGAATTGGCAAATTAACCTTTTCCGTAGACTTTGTTTTTTGGCCATTAAGATTCTTTGTGTTTGTCGGTAGTAGGTACAAATCTTTGGAAATCGTCATTTTGAAAATAACACCTGTTATCATGGTTATTTACTTTTAAATTGATCATCCTATCTGTTTTTCTGACCTTATAATTATTTGCTCAACATGTACATGGTTGGTATTCGAACTTGGAAGTTTAATTACAATATTTTTAGCACAAGATTTTTGGAAATTAAATAAACCTATCTATTGTGGAGCGCAAAAGCGCGTTAATTAGTGTTAAGGATTTTTTTTTTTTATCGATATAACGATACTTGCATTTGAATAGAATACACATTTATTGAATCGTTAATCAAAAAAAGCTTTTCTACAAAAGTTTCGTTTCCGTGCTCACCTTGACCTTCTGAATTAATTCACGTCCTCTATTTGCTCTTATAGATGTTAGGTGATTGTATAGTTTAAAAACTACATTTTTTAAAACTAATGAATGAATAATAGTCCTGAACCAAATTATTTTTTTTTTGTATTTCAATTACATCACGGAGTGCTAGATACAAGAGGTGTCAATTAAGTAATCAGAAAAACATAGGCATCATGACGGTAGTTATCTATGAGTTTATCAGTGAATAAGGATATTTCACAATCAAATTCTATATTTTAGATGTTCGAAATGACCGTGAGTCTTCAGAGAGTGATATGAGAATCGATAAAATAATACAAGAGCTACAAGGTAAGGCAGTATTAATGATATTGAATATCGTTTGGTTGTGTTTATAAATTATGGATTTTACTATTCGTTTTTTTTGGTTTTTTTTTCGTTTTCCACAACCAATCTATTTTGTAAATTATGTTAATTTTTAACTTGCGGATGGATTTTAGCTTTTTATTTCTTGTCCAGTTATAGAATTTACTGTTTTAACGCGGTTTCATTTCTGCATGCTTTCATACGTCATGTAATTATTTAATGAAACTTGTGAATGCTTAAAAATATGCTGTTAGATATATTGCAAAAGGTTCTAGCTATAAACATGATAATGCAAACATCTTCTTGAATTATCAGATATTGGTATCATGATGGTTTCCCCCACAAAAAATCAAAGGCAGATAAAACTTAAAAAAATCTATACACTCTCATAAAAATGTAGCTTTTATATTCTTTTAAAATCAAATGATTTGTATATAAATATATATTATTTGGTGTTGTTTAGATGCATGCATCGATGACAATCAACTACAGACAGTAGAAAAGCTGAAAAAGAATAGACAGACTATTTTAGACAGTAAGTAGTTCTTTTTTATTTTATATTCAGAATGATGAGTTCCTCTCCCCAGTTTTCTTGGATTTAAGACAAAAATCCTGAAAAAGTGCCAAATGTGTGTCTATATTTCTTTAATTGAATTGTAATCAACCATGAAACATACATCATTTACATGGTTCCAGCAATTTTCAGAAATCCTACCAAATAAATTGATTTGCAATTTGTTTTTTAATAGAACACATTTGCTCATGTACAAAATGTGCATGTGGATATTTCTAACGATTTGAGTTCTTGGCGTACGTGGCCCACAATAACATCGTTTTCTGTGTACATCCCATTGTTAACATTTTTGAAAACGAAGTTAGGAATTGACAATTCACTTTCAAACCAAACAATTACTCAAATGGCACATTCTTAAAATGATATCCTGGACATCAAAGGTCTGTTTGTTGGTTTTTTTATGATCTTCTGTCGTCTTATAGGATACCAAAATAACATTATAAGTGCGTAAATGCTGCACGAACTCTTGATTTGTGTGCCGCCATATAGATTATGTCCTTTGACTGAATAATTTTATACGTTCAATGCTTAAACTTGCCAATGACCTTGAAATCAAATATATATCAGATACAGGTTCATCTGCTTCATTCCACAACCCACATCTAAAAAGCCACAGTTACAAATGTAGTATCAGTTATTAAAAAGCTTAAAAACATTAAACGATGCCTTCTTTTTTGTATATACGAAAATACGTCCACGTTAACATTATGATTGTATTCTCGATGATCTTTTCCGTGAGGAAGCGATGGACAAAATGGTTGTTTATCGTATATTCAGTTAAGGTCATCTCTTCAAAGGATTTCGAGCAACAGCAAAAATGTTAAGGAATATTTTTGTTTCATGACTTGTTTGACTGTTCTTGAATATATGTGACATATGATTTTCGCTTTCTTTCGGTATCGTTCTTTCCAAAAAAGTCAGCATTATATTAGTTTATCAGTCTGAAATTTACATCACTGACTTTGAATTTATAAAGAACCAATAGTTGTTATAGTAATCGATATTTGATTGTTTTTAAGATATTGACGTATACAAAGATGTGGTGAAATTGAATACACAACTCAGAAAAGAAATAAGATGGATCATTGAAGGTATTTCCATTAAAGCTTTAAATCACTTAGTTATTGTGTAGGCATCCCAAATAAATTTTCAAAAAATTGGAATAAAAAATGGTGACTAATACCTAGCTACCTGCACCAAATTTTTCAAATGACAATTCAAATCTTTTAAAATATTGTCTTCCTTTTCTGTGTTTTGTAATATCTTTAAGCACTTCCATTTTTTTTCGAAATTCATTTTTTTTTTCTTTTTTTTCAAAAACAAAGAACACAACAACCATAGTACTTAGTAAATAATCAGATAAGTCTGAGATTTGCCGTTTTGTCCGACGAACATCAATTTTGTAACTAAAACGGATGAAAAAAGGAAAATAATACAATTTAATTTATCATGTTTATTTTTTTGTAATTAAATGATTGATTAATGTTTGCTTGACATCCAGTGGAAAATATTTCAAACATATCCAGGATGAGAGGAAATTTACAATTAATCTAACATATAGGTTCTTTAAAGTCAAGATGAGGGTCGGGAAATGCAGACAGCCCCAGGATAATGATGGTATATGGTATAATAGTAGAAAAAGGCACTCTTTTTAAACATGGCATCGTGTTTAGAGTTCCCATTCTGCCAGGCCCGTAAAAATGTGACTCATTCGAAATTTAAATTAAATATAAGTAACGATATTTTGAAATTCTCATGGGGAACAATATGACGAACACTTATAGTGCAAATAGTAACTTGAATGAAAGATATAAATCATATCTGAAGAATACAACACAAACGAGAAAAATGCGAATGCGAATGAAGGATTTTTGATTAGACAGATATATAGAATAGAGATGTCACAGTCCTAAAAAATTGTTTTGATTTACGTTTGTATTGTTTATTGTCGGATCTTATTTTCATAGGTTTATTTATTTTCTATATGAGATCTGACGTATTCTTTGTATCGTTTTAGAATCAAAAGGAGAAAAGGAAACTAGGAGAATATTGGGTCTACTCAAACAGGACACAAAAGGTGAAGACCGAATATTGACCATTAGACCATTAGATGTATTATCATATTGTTGGGTTGCTGTCCTATTGACGTGCAAAATCACATATTCTTTAAGTCGGTTGTCGTGATTGACTGTATAAAGCATTAAAGTTTAAAAAAAAATAGGTCTTGGTGCTTGTTATGATAAAAGAATTTGACAGTTTTTGGATGGTTCTATATTTTTGATATGCAAAGTAATGTAATGAAAACCATCAATTTCAAAATGTACCAAAATGTATAAAATATAACAAGAAATTAAATAGCATTTTGTCCAAAATTTATTTTAAATCTTGTGTTTGAAATATTTAGAAATATCGCTATTGCAGGGCAAAATGCATTGCCGTTATAAAACCTAGTGGGGATTTAAATAATTAGCGGAAAGTTCAAAAGTGGAAGATGTACACATCCTTAAATATTATAAATTTAGAGCATTTAGAAGTAAACAAAGCGACTAATGTTTTTTTTTTTTTCAGGCATATGTTCACCGCCAATTGCAAAGTACAAAGATTGTACAGAGATAAAGAGGAAAACAAAGAAAAAACTGAAAGATGGCGTTATCCAGGAAGAGTTAACTCTGTTCAGGCGTACTGCGATATGACCACAGACGGGGGAGGCTGGACAGTATGAGCTTATTAACTTAGACTTTAAAAATATTTGCCGCATAGCTTATCACCACCTCAGTAGGCAGCATTTCTGTGTTGACATGAATCATCATTGATTTGGTCATAATTATAAATTAACTGATAACAAAACTTTTAGTGTTCGAAATACTGAGGCTTTTTAACCCAGAGAATAGATTACCTTAGCTGTATTTGGCAAAACTTTTAGGAATTTTAAGTCCTCAGTGCTCTTCAACTTCGTACTTATTTTGGCCTTTTTAACTTCTTATGATTCGAGCGTCACTGATGAGTCTTTTGTAGACGAAACGCGCGTCTGGCGTACATAATTTTGATCCTGGTATCTATGATGAGTTTATTTAAAAGCATTTGTTTCACAGTTTTTTTAATTGTATAGCATACATACAAATTGAAAACGGATGTATCTGAATTGGTTGATTTTGAAATTTGTTTAATGTACTGTATCCAAAATATAATTTTCTACAAACGGGACTAATTGATAACTTTGGAATTTGAGCATAAATATTTAAAGAGATAACAAATTACACCGAACTCGTAGAGTTCTAAATATGGAACAATACATTTATCTGGTGTAGCCAAAATGTCCACCTGTAATATCAATCGTTATCATATATCCATACATGGGTTGAATGCAAAAATGGATTTGGTGAAGCCGATGCTTAATATTACTTCCCTTTTGGCTATAGCTCGTGATGCATTTGTGTTATATTTGTCATCAAATAAATTAAACTATATTTATGATATATTAGTTTTAACGGGCTTCTGGCATATACAATTATAAGCCAAGTATCTTTGAAATGATTTATAAAATATCAGCTGAAATTCAAATATGAAGCTTTTATAGAGAAACTAGTACCTGAACGAGCAAACAAGAAAAGTAAATGGCCATGTAGAACAATTTATAACAGTAATTTCCCTTTGCATCTTTTAATTTTCTTTTATTTGTTACTTAAACGATAATCTTGTATTTATTATAATGATAAATAAATAACTCATCTATTATAAATATAGAACTCATTTGGTATCCACAGAAATAAACACAGCCTTTTGACAGACTTTATTGATGAAACCTGTGAGAAAAATCATAATATTTGCTTTTCTTTGTATCTGATGATAATCTAAATTGTCCGTCTTTCTTGTCCATTTTTTATCTAAATTTCATTTTCCCTGATATGTGATATATATGCAATAATGCGAATGATATCATTAGTTTGTTGTGTGAAAAGAAGGATAATTTTCTCACTTTCACTTATTTTCAATAACGAACTTTCCAATTCTTCAGCAATGGGACACCATTGCTACAACTGTGTGAACTTTTTTATTTCTAATTCAATATGAAAAGATATATGTTGTACTTGCTAATGTTTATGCTAATGTTAGTTAAAGTATCAATACCATAAGTGAAAAAGGAAAACTTATGTTCTCTTTGTTAGGTCATTCACAAACGGAATGGTGGAAATGTTAATTTCCATCGTAAATGGTTGGAGTGTGAAAACGGATTCGGCAACATTAATGGAGAGTTCTGGTTTGGTATGATGTAATATTGTATTGGATTTGCTTGAAACCTAATTTATCTTAACAATTGTTGAAAGTTTTCAATGTATGTTTTTGTTTTCTACAATTGCAATTATGTTCAGTACAAAATTCTTGACTCCCTTTTTTGGGGGTATTTATCTGTATACCAGTACTATTGGTGTTCTTAAAATACAATTTCTAAATACTCTAAAATATCGCTTTATGTGTAATTGGTAAATAAATAGCAAATTGAAATGAATTAATAAATACAAATTTTATATATGCCTTAATAGATAAGTAGGAATAACGGTTCAACGTATCAATGATAGAATAGAGAATGGAACAAGGAATGTGTCAAAGACAAGAACCCGACAAAAGGGTAGAAAACATCCCCCAACGCAACCAACGGGTTTTCAAAGCAGCCCCTCAACAATAAGGTTTACATTCATGTTGTTTTCCTATAGTATATTATATAATTTCAATTCCGCCATGATCACAAACAATTACATGAAAAACCCTCCTATTGTAACCTACAACACTAAACAGGACTGTAAATTCACAGCTTAATGCAATTTAACAAGTAAAAGTGATAATCTACAAAAATAGAAGGCATAATTATGAATACCCGTATAAATAATGAGGATTAAAAAATACATCCATATTCATATCAATCAATCAATATTAACACATTATTTGAACCTTGAATGAGATTATCTTCTAACAGGGATTACTACATTGAACTAGTGTATAAAGATAAGAGACGATTAATGGGATTGATTATAGTTTTATAAAACATTGTCAAAGAACGTGTATTCGTGTTCAAATGAACTGGTTTTTTAAATGTTATACCCAAATGAATACGAGATTGTAAAAAAAAACTCTTAGGTCAAATCTGAAATATATACACATATTATGGTAAGCAAAAACAGCGACACAAATTTGCAACACATCCCCGTAAAAGTTCATATAGGGAGTTATCTCGAACCCCAATGAATCATGTAGTACTACTAACATATCCAGAAGGATAAGCGATCTATGCTCCAAACGAACAAATGTCCAGATCTCAGTTGGGTATTTACATTAATTATATAAATAAGTTTGTTCAGATTATCAAATGACAAAAAAAGTCCGTTTTCTAGGTATTCATTAATTACTTATAATTGAAAGTTAATTCAGGTATGACAAAATTATAATCAGTATATTTTCATACAGAGAAACATTTAACACACTAAAAGAACGAGCCAATATGCAGCAAAAATTGGCTCTAAAACGAATTTTACTTATTTAATTTTTTTTCTGAATAAAATGTTGAATCTATGTACTTTATTAAACCATTGCAGTTTTAGTTTGAAATTTGTATCAGTCATTGATTATACAGCAATGAAATGACAGTTAACATGGCGAATATGGCTCACAAATTGAAACAATAAAGAGCACATGGCTCACAAAAAAAATATTTACACAGAAAGCCTTTTTGAAGATAAATTACTTGCTGACAAGAATTGGACGACGTTTATGTTTTTAACTAATTTTGCTAAAATATTCATGAAATTAGACTACATTAGGCTAAAATTGGGTACATCGTCACTAAAACGTCAGTTCAATGACATTACAATCAGATTGCGCCATCAAAATGTAACCTAATATTTTGTTGTGTTCATAAAGGGACACATTTAGTAGGTTTTAAAGGTAAAAAAATAATTGTATCATCCAATTATTTTTTTAAAAGGCCAATTTACAGGACAAAATAAGCTTCAGACCGTACCTTTTCCCTTATGCTAACCACCGGATTGACGTTTATCTTTCTTCATTCAAATCGTTAATCAACATTCATACATATATTACTTATTCATTGTTTACATTATAGGCAACAAATATACACATATCCTGACCTCTAGTGGAAAGTACGAACTAAGGGTTAACCTGGTGGATAGTTCTGGCATTAAAAATACGCTCTCTATAAAACATTTTCTATAAGAGACGCTGGCTCAAAATACAAGTTAACTGTTGATAATTTCTCTGGAACTGCAGGTAAACTATTTGTATTATTATAACGCAAAATGAGTCGACATGTTTCAGGAATACCCAAATTCGGACAACAGACATATTCTTTCCTAAGGCGTATCCACGATTTTATTTATTTTTTTCTGTAACTTATTTTTCGTTTTTGTTATGTGTGTTTATTACAAGGTTCATTACTTGATTATTTCTACATATGTAGTGTTAACCTAGTATAAAATTCGGGGGGGGGGGTTAAAGAAATTATTACTTTATGGAACATCATTTTACCCATTTAAGCGTCTGTTGTTTTTTTCAGCTAATCAGTTGAAAAATAATAATGGAATGAAATTCACTACAATAGATCAGGATAACGATACTTGGAGCAGAAATTGTGCCCTTCTAAGTAGAGGGTCATGGTGGTACAATGGCTGCACAGCTTGTGACCTCACGAAAAGTGGTAAACACAAACCTTATTGGGGAAATATTAGCCCACTTGCAAAATCAGTAATGATGATAAGGAAAACATGAACTTACTATTGTTTTATTACAAACAATTACTATTAAAAGTATTCGTAATGTTTTTGTTGTTGTTGTATTCAAACATACAGTTGATAAATCATTTACTCCAGCGTTACAGATATGAAAGTTATACTTGACATTTTGAACATGTCAAAATTGCTTATATGTTCTAATAACACCACAGAATAACTAACGTTGCTGTTACTGTTGAACTGTATCAGTGAGATACAAATCTACAATACAAATACAAAACCAAGTTTACTCTAACATTTCTAGAATAATAATGTTTTAACATATTTAATTATGTTACTTTAATTTTACTGTGGTATTAAATAAATAGTGATGGCCTAAATTAACTCCCTTTACCATATGCATTTGTGTTCATTACAAAAATCGAACATTGAATTTGACTGGAGATCAATCAACTTTTTTTCATTTCCTCGCAGATCTGTCCCTTTGTTTGTATGAGGCAGAATTCATACAGGGGTTCGCATGAAATTCAAAGGAGTTCAGTTTACCTTTTAGATTACATTCTGTTGTGCAAATGATGCCATAACTAAATTATATATAATGGAACAAAATGGATGACTTTAAATTTCCCATTAAGAGTTTTACTTTTCATTCGGATATGCAAAGTTCCAGCAGGCCGTTCACATGGAGTATATATCTTAAGGTTGATGCGGTATTCCACAGTTTACGTTTCCTTTACAGATGGATGCTGCTTACAACGGAAGCAAACGGTTACTAATTGTAAAGTCATCTCCTTAAAAGAGTCATGGATGCTATCATGATTTTGTTGAACATTATGGCATATCTTTAATTTCTTTGTTTCTGAAATCACGACATAATGAACTATACGACAAGTGGA